GTTTCCACTGGGGCCCACAGACAAGCACTCAACGCGGGAAACTGAGAACCACGACCTCCGCAGGCAGCTTTAAACTTGTAGGAGTGCTCAACATGAGAGAAACGTGCACAGGGGAGGCCCATGCACGCGAAGCCAGAATTGCTTAGGTTTTGCGACCCCAGATTTGGAGTCGCGCAAACTGGCCACTGTGCAACCATGTGTACGCGATATTGCAAGGCCTCAGAGGCCTCACCCTTCGGGCGTTCGAGGCCTTTCGAGGCCTTTCGAGGCCTCACTCATGGGGTTTCGAAGCCTTCCGAGGCCTCCCGAGGCCTCGACAAAATCCCAAAACCCCTTTAGCTTGCAAGATTTCGAGGCCTCGGGGACCCGGGCTTATAATACTATTAAAGGGGTCCCCGCAAGGCCTCGAGCCCAGAGGAACCCGGGCTGCCTCTCTTCTTTCATGTGAAAAGAATTTTAAGCCGCAGCTGGCTCCAAGTCCTCTGCAAGCTATTCTTGCTGCCGCAAGTTTACTTCTCGATGGGCCTCAGAAAAGGCCTCGATGATCCTGAGCTTTCAAAGTTTCATGAGAAAGTCCTGAAAGGCCTTCTGCATGACATTGCAAGCTGACGTTGGTCTCCAGCGGGCAAGCAAACTGGAGGAGGCCTCGAGAAGCTTCGAAACCTTCGGCAAAGTCTGAGGCTCAAAGATGATGTTACGTGTGAGCCGAGTGAACGCTCCCCGCCATTTAAACATCAACAACGCCCTTCAAGAAGACAAACTGACGTTCACAAGGCTTTCGCTGGGGGCGTCGGCCTTCCCTATATCTTCTTCTTCTTTGGGCCATTGGGCGCATGGCAACTTAAGTTCCGGGCCGGCGCAACACGCTTAAATATCTTCGCTGTCCAAAACCCAAGCCCGCCAAAAGCTTTCATTCTGCAATGTCTAGCAGGCGACTCTGCACAACCACAGAAAACGTTGAGGCCACGTTGGTCAACTTCCCAGAGCTTGAAGCGTGACTCCTATCCACAGAAAAAGCCAACAAAGACCGAGACACCTGCAGCTCAGCTGGGTTTGCCAGGACGAAGCCCAAGTTACGGGGCTGTCGGGCGACCCCACTTTCAGGCCTGCGAAACACAAGCAATTCTGGCTTCGCCAGGATGGGCCTCCACAGTAGCACTGTAGCATAGCGCGAGACTGAGAGACAGTTTGCGACCCACAAGACACAAGACAAGGTAGCAGACAACTCCACCAGGGCTTCCAGGCTCCTACTCACTGCCCCAAAATCCAGCTCCGCCCCATGGTTGCAAGTAGCTTCTCCAGTGGCTATCATTCTTCCCCTCATCACCTGAATCAGCGCTGTGTCCTGAACTTCAGTCGGGGTCCAGGTTCCAGTCCCCCAAGATGATCCAGGGCTCTGGAAGGGTTCTTACGAACGCCACCAGAGAGGATAGCACCTCTGCATTTGTGGGACCATTCAGACCTTCCCTCTACTTGAGGGACAGAGGGACACAATCGTGCAGTCCCACCGTCTTTGTCTCAGACCCACGGCTGTGTAGCCCGCCCCTTTGCATTGGTAGGTGGCTTTTTGCCACACGCCGCTATTTTTGGGAAAGGCACAAGCAGTGCCCCCCAACCTTGTGCCCTTGTCCAACAGGGAGGCCGGCTCAGCATAGAGATCCCATCCCAGGGATTGTAGTGTGGCTCGCCTTCCATGCAGCAGTTCCGGTGTGAGGTGGGTTTCCTGCAGACACACCACCTTGGCTTTGGAGGAGGTTACCCACTCCAACGCCCCGTTGTTGAAACTGGTGACATTGGCGCTCATGATGCTGAGATACTGGTCAGGCGAGGCGGAAGGTTTAACCTTCTCATGGCTGGGCGTTTCTGAGTCGGTGCCCTTGCCATGCGCAAGGTCTTCCTCTCGTTCCTGCTGGCGCAGCACCTGTTTCGGTGGCAGGGGCGTCTCACTCTTGGGGAGCTCAGAGGTTATCACCTCCTTTGCCTGTTGGATGGCTTTCCCGGTGACATCCTCTCCTTGCTCTAGGGCTTGCAGGACCATCCTGCACCAACCCCAGGCCAGGAAGTCCTCCGCCATCACCTCCTCTTGGGCTTCGATGAAGCTTAGAAGGGTGGCTTCCTTCGCCTGGAAGGGGCTCACTTGGTCTTCCAGGAGGCTAACCACCCCTGCCATGTCAGCTCCGAACCCAATTCTTCTGGGCTGCAGGGGGAAGGTTTCACCTTCTGGGCTTCATCTTGCCATTGTGGTGGGAGGGGCCTGGGGTAACCAGAGGGTTCCATCAGGGTTCACCTCCCACAGTGGCATTTTGTTCGTCGTCTGCTGGCGCCTCATCATCTGTAAGGTCCAGCTTGAAAAACTTTGGTCCTGTGATCGGAACGCTTTCTGGCGACTCCTTTCCGGGCCGACAAAAGTGGCTGGGCTTCTGCCAGCCTGGCTCACAACCACTGCTATCTGCAGTAAGTTGTTTCCCCAAGGCCTCCCTCAATCTTTTCCCGTGCAGATTGATGTGAGCACCTCGCTTGTAGTATTCAGCACATGCAACCAGGAACTGCTGGGCAGTTCGCAGCATGTGTTCCAGCCCTGGGCTGGAGTCGCACATTGGCTCTGTGGGGCCCTTGCTTTAGGGCTCCAGGCCCCACACGCCGAGTCTCTAGGCCACCGGGCCCAACCCCGGCGGGGCATTGGCATTGCCGGGAGGCATCCCCTCCTGGGTGTGCTCCTCAAGGCCCGGAGGGGTGGGGCCCTTCTGTGTGCGACGCCTCTTTGCTTCTCGCTCCGCTTTAATCTCATGGAGTTTCTTCTCTTGCTCCTCATTGAGGCTTACCCCCAGTTCATGGAGGATGCTGTCGACCTCCATGTCCGCAGCGGATTCGCAGAAGACTTTCTCTTTGAGTAGGCCTGAGCTTGCCTCGACTGCCTTCTGTGCCCTCTCAGCTTGCTCATTCAGCACAATCATTTCTTGTAGAAGCTGCCTTAATGACTCCTTCGCCATGTCGATGCGCTTCTGCAGGCCAATCTTTTGATCAGCAATGTGCTTGAGCTTGCCAGCTGCGCTTTGCCAGCTCTGGCTGGCCTGGCTTGCAGCTTGGGAGGGCGTCACCTCCTGGCTGGCCTTGAGGCCTTTCAGGTAGGCTTTGACCTCCTCCGGCAGGGCGGCTTCATGCTTCTGGCACAGGTCTGTGAGGTCGTCCACCTCTTCCTTGACCTGTGCCTTGGGTGGTCTGTACCCTGCCTCCTGGAGGTTCTTTTGCACCTCTTCAGGCACATTGTCCCATGCCACTCCAAGGGCTTGCAGGACCTTGTTCGGCAGTGGTGTCTTCGGAGGCTTGGGCTTCTTTGGCGGCTGCCAGTAAGCTGCCTCAGCCACTGTGGGCCATTGTGGCTTCCACTGGCTCCAGTTCTGTCTCGCCTTTCGAATGCTGTTTGCCCAGGGCGTTCTGCATTTCTTGCAGTGCATGTGCGGCTGAGCCTTGTCCGCCCAAATCCATCCTGTGCAGCTTTTGCCACTGCAACAGATGTACTCGCGGGGGGCCATGGCTAAGAGGAAGGCACCTCTGGGCAAACTGTCCTAGGCTGGCAACCAGGCTAGGAAGGCTGAGACCTCCGAAATTTTCCCTCAGGCTACTCCTTGGGCCGAAAACTTGAGCCATGGGGGGGGTTTGAACCTGGGTTCAACCCAGGTTCGAACTCTTTTCATTTAAACGGAGTTCGAACCTGGGTTAAACCTGGATTCAAACTAATTGAAGGGTCTGAGTTGTTCGGGGGTTCTCTGAACCTGGGTTTAAACCCGGGTTGAACCTGGGTTTAATCTGGGTTGCAGACAGGTTGAACCCTTGTTGAAACCAAGTTGAACCCAGGTTGAACCTGGGTTTGGGATAAATCTGGATCACCTGGGTTCAACCCGGTTGAATCCAGGTTGAACTTCAGGTCAAATTTGCAACCAAAGTCTGATCAATTGATCTAATTCTGGTTTCTTGAAGTAGACAGGATGTGGCGTGGGGGCAAGGAAGCTAAGAGAAGCGAATGTATTTTAAATTCCACCCTTGAATTTTTTCTTTTTTGTATTTCATTCTTTGCGAAATCAGAGGGCCCAAGCATTCATCCGGACTTGCTGCGTTTTTTGTTAAGGCAAAACATTCTTGACAAGAAGAAGAAGCGGAAGGTTCACAATGTTTTCTTCCGCATCTGATTTTGTAGATGATTTCTTTATGGTTAAGGGTGCAGATTCAGCGCAGAAGGTATTTGTGTTGTTTGAAGACATGCGTGGGAAAATCGCACTGTTGGTGATTTAAGCCTGCAGCGCAGGGGTCCCGTTTGGCAGGGGGTCTGAAGCGCCGACCCGCACGCATCCTAGCAAGGCATAAGAGTCCGTTGCCCCGCAGCTGGTGGTGTAGAAGCAGAGACTTCTGCGTGTTCACATAAGTGCAAGACTTGTTGTGCAATTGCACGTGTGCATGTTAGCACAAGTTAGCGCGCTATTTTGATAAATCTTTGCCTGCAAGCAGCGTTGTGTAAAGGCGAGTGCGGTGCAAAACACCCACCTTTCCCACCCGGCAAAATCGCGCTGTTGGTGATTTAAGCTTCCAGCACAGGGGTTCCAGTCTCTTCCTGCTGCTGTAAGATGCCGACCTCGAACCAAAGCAGATCTAAAAGAACTGCAGGTTTTCTTTGATGGCCTGTATTGGCATGAGCAATTTGCATTTCCACATCATTCAGGGATCGTCTTGGAAGTTAAGCGCGAAAGAGTCCAAGCTGTCTGAAACACGATGACCAAATGTCGTCCACCTTCAACTTGGAACACCGTGCAACAAAGCGAAAGTGGCAAGCCACGTTGTGTGGCTGTGGATGCAGAAAGCCTTTAAACCTTTGCACAAACCCAGTTTTTTTCTGTTTTACACCTTCAAAGCCCAAAAGTTGGCCTTAAGCCCTGAACCTTAGACCCTAAACCCCAGACCCTGAACCCCAAACTCCGGAGCCTTCCCGCGGCCAGCCATGCGAATCTATGGAAGCAGCCCGCTGCTCAATGCGCCACGTTTGGGCCTTTAGTTTTTGGATTCACGGTGTTGGCATCTTTTCAGGATTTATGTTCCATATGTGCTTTTGTGTATACACCGACTCGGCAATAGTTTACTAGAACATGTTACCTTTGTTTGTTCTGTTGATGTTTTACGGTATGATGTCATAGTTTTTCTGATGTTACATGATGTTGTATGACGTCGTATGACGTTTATGATGATACATGATGTTACATTATGTGACATGTTGTTACATGATCTTACATGATGTTATATTATATTTGTCTAGACTGTATTGTGCCAAATGCTGCCATAATATGTTGCTAGAGGACTATACGAGCATTATAACATCCTCTCCTGAGATACGGGGGGGGACGTGGTTGTAAGGCAGCGGTTACTGCCGCGTGCCGTCCTCCTCCTCCTCCTCCTCCTCGAGCATTAAAACAAGGTTGTCAGAGTCAGCCTAAACCCTACACCCAGTCAAAACCACGATGCCCAGGCTTTTGGTGCGGCTTTGTCCGGGGCGCCTTCTGTACTGCCCATCATCGCCGCAGCAGCGCGGCGGCGCAGCACCAGCGAGGCTGGCAACGTTTTCACCCTAAATTCCGCTCAGCTGCTAGGCCGCTAAGCCCGATACCCCAAACATTCTACCTTAATCCCTAAGCTTTCGAGGTTGGGATTTGTGAATTCAACAGTCTCATCTTGCAGTATGTGAGATGACAGGCTTCTCCAAGGCTTTTTCTTCACCCTGTTAGCCACAACTCTTCCGTTTTTGCGTCGAAACACTAGACCCTACGCCTTGTGATTTTGGGTTCAGGCTTAGGGTGTAGGGTTTGCCCTAAGAATTCGGCCCGTGAGCCTTCCGTGCCAGGCGTTAAGATGGCCATGGCCTCGGTTCAGGCTTCGGTAGGGTTTAGGGTTTAGCGTTTAGGGTTTAGGGTTTAGGGTTTAGGGTTTAGGGTTGAGGGTTGAGGGTTGAGGGTTGAGGGTTGAGGGTTGAGGGTTGAGGGTTTAGGGTTTAGGGTTTAGGGTTTAGGGTTTAGGGTCTGTTTGGTGTTTTTGTTGGGAGAAGGGGTTAATTAGGGTTGGGGTTAGGGTCCCCAATTTGACGCGCTTGCATGGGCTGGTGTTTGTAGCCTGCTGCAGGGCTTAGAGTTTTAGGACGTATGATTTCGCAAGGTTCTAGGGCTCGAGGCCTGTCGTCCAAGTTCTCACATGAGCAGCGACAACACTGGGAACCCTCACCCTCAAGACTGTTGCTTATTCTGGCGCCAAGCACCAGAGCCTAGCTGCTGAAAGGCTCCTTGGTACGGTGGTTTAGGCTTCACGCGTGAGGGGTTATGTACTACCCATGAGCCTCACCCAGGCTTCGCCGAACTGGAGCGGCGTGGGAGCTGGAGAGCTGGACCTACGCCGAGGCGTTAGTCGTTTCTACTTGGTTTAGGGTTTTTGAGGCTGGGGGTTTGGGGTTTGGGGTTTTAGGTCGAGGTTCGAAGGGTGTGGGGTGGAAGTAAGAGATTTGAGTACGTGCGTTTCTTGCAGGGGTGTATGGTGTTCGGGGCACAAGTGGCAAGAGTCCAGGGATCCCCGCAGCCCAAGTAACAAAACCGAAGCCCCTGAACCTTGAATCCTTGGCACTCTCCAGCGCCAGGTCTGGCGCAGGAGCATCGACACTGCAGGCGCCCTGCGCGGCTACGGCGCCGATGGGCGCCCGGGCGCCCAGAAGCGCTGATGTCGATGCATGGTATTCTTACTGTTGTTGCTATTGTTATGGTTATGTTCTTCTTTTGCTCGAAGGGGCATCTCGTGTCGCATGTTCTTGCAAGGCCTCATAAAGCAGGTAGGTTATGTGTTTCGTGGGGGTCCGTGAAAGCCTCTATTGATTTAGGCACCACACACCTTAAACCCTAGACCCTAAACCCTCAACCCCTCAACCCCTAACCTTACAGCCATGCAAGTGCCCGTGGCAGCTTCCCGGAGGCGCGGTGGGCGTGGCCATCGACGAGGGCCCGGCGCTGCCGCTTCTCGAGTTGGCCGTCGGGACCCCGACGATCGGGTTTAGGCGGTTTAGGGTCTCGGGATTAGGTTTGTGGATTTTGGGTATATTTATTCGTTTAGATTTTGGGGATATTGTGGGCTTATGGGCAAACGGTTCAGGGATTGCGGCTCTGGTTTAGGGCTCGGAGTTATTTTTCTTGTGCTTAGAGTTCAGGGGTCTAGGGGTTTGGGTTTTAAGTTTGGGGCTTCTGGGTTTTCGGGCTTCGGGCTTTAGGGCTTTAGGCTTTAGTTCAGCTGTTTGCGTGTTTCGGGTGCTCGAATTGGGATGCACGGTTATTGTGATGTAGGAGTTCATCGTATTTGGGATGCAAGGTTCAGGATTTAGGCTTTGCTTGGGTTTGTGCAGAGGTCCGGGGCTGCACTACTGCTGGGTTTAGGGGATCCGTATTTTTGTGCAGTTCAGCATTCGGGAGCTGGGTTGTGGAGTCAATGTCGAAGTTCACGAAGCTTGCGGTGGGTTCTTAGCCACCATTGTGGGATTCTCGGAGTCTTCCTGAACCCGAGAACCTAAACCGGGAAGCCCTTGACGCCCTAAGCCTCAAAAGCCCGGAACTCCAACTAGATGTTCTCAGAGGGACTGAGAGGGGGTCGGCATATCCGGCGAACAGCATTTTTTAACGCTCCGCAGCATGACAATGATGTTTGTGAGGCTTTCGCTCTCCCCAAACCCGAAAGCCGAAACTCCTTAGACCTAAACCCTCAAACCTCAGATATCCCGAGAAACCGAGCGCCCTAAACCCCCAAGCCCCCAAAAACCCGAACCCCAAACCCCAGTCCGAGGTTGAGGGTTTCTAGGGTTCAGGGTGCAGGGTTGAGGGCTGAGGGCGATTCGGGGCTCGAGCTTAAAAAGGAAGACAGAGAGATAAATGAATCAAGTAAATACCAACAAAAAGAACCAAAGCTAAAGCCAAGCCCCAAACCAGAAAGCACACCGACCCAGCCGTGTCTCAGATTCTCCTGGCCGGCGGCCACATCGTTCCCATGGACGTCTGCGAGTTTGGTCCTCCAGGGGGCCATGCTGAAAGCCTTACAAGCCATGTATGCACTGCAAGCTCATTGACCCTACAAGCCCTGTAAACTGTAAAGCCTAACACCTCTAAATCCCCGCTTAAGATGCAAGGGCCCAAGGTTCAAGATGCTCAGTCCGGGGGCCTTTAAGAGGTTCATACGGTTCAGGGTTCAGGGGTTCAGGCGTTCAGCTAGTCTCTCGGCTCAGGGTCGAGGGGCTTGGGCAGGCATGACTCCCAAACCTTTGGGTCTTTCAAATGTGTTTCGGGCCTAAAACCCTTTGAAGTCGCCAGCCCTCATCTCTGAACTCCGACCCCAGCACCCCCTGCCCCTAAGGGCTAAGTCCTTAACCAGAGCCCCTCCAGCACCAGACCCTCAACTGAACCTGCCCAGTCCCTGCGGCCGCTTGGCGGTCCTCCTGCGAGACAGCCTGGAAGCCCAAAAAATGGGGGTTAGGCTTTGGGGGTTTTGGGTGCGGGAGCCTTCATCCATCAACTTCCCAATCCCAATTCCCAAATCCTAGATACCTGGAAGGCGGTAACCTCAATAGCATTCAAAAACCCTGAAGCCGCGAACTATGAGCTTTAAATCCCGAAGTGTGGTGACTGAAGCCGGGATAGATGGTGGGGCAGGGCCATGAAAAGAGAAGTCCTCGGATGTGGGGTTCATTGAGGGTTGTAAGGCCCAAAGCCCCGAGAAAATCATCTATGGGCTTCAGAGCTGTCTAGGGGTTGAGCGTTTCAGGCTCGGCTGTCGGCCACGTTTGGGGTTTCAGTTCTCTTCGGCCTTCTGCTGTCATCAGCCGTGAGCCTGAGCAAGAGGAAGACACCCTAAACACAAGCTCCAAAACCCTTGAAGCATGAACAAAGCTTATTTTCGCCCTGGTCTAACTTGCAAGTCATGCCTGGATGTGTGGGGCGGCCCATGCAGGGGTGCCTTCTCCGACGTAGAAGTACCCCGGAGTCCCCAAATACTCCCGCGCGAAAACTCTGAAACCCTAACTCTAACCCTAAACCCTAAACCCCAAACCCTAAACCCTAAACCCTAAACCCTAACCCCCTAGACCCCAGTTCTAAGTTGCCACAAGCCTCCAAGTAGGGCCCAGCCCGAGCCTGGATCAGGCACCCCAGTCCTGGCCGTGGCCAAGGCGGGAGCCTGCCAAGAGCCCTCAAATGCCTCTAAGACCCTAAGCACGAAAAGGCCCTTAAAATGTTGGGGGTCAGGGTTTAGGGTTTAGGGTGTAGGGTTTAGGGGTTTAGAGTTTAGGAGCCCAGACGCCTGAGACCAGAACACCTCAGGCCCCCCAAACCCTCAGCCGAAAGACTTACATCCACCATTTATCCACCGATCAAGTACCCCTAAACCCTAAACTAGGCTAAACTACCCTAAACCACCCTAAACCCTAAACTACCCTAAGCCCAAACTACCCTAAACCCTAAACCCTAAACCCTAAACCCTAAACCCTAAGCCCTGAGCCCTAAAGCCCGTAAACTCAAAAAGGACGATCCTGGCCTTGAAGCGCTGGAGAGGGCGGCAGCGCCGTCCCCGGAGCTTCAGGGCTTGGTTGAGGGTGTTGAGGGTTTAAGGGTTTTAGGGTTTAGGGTTTAGGGTTTAGGGTTCTTGAGTAGGGGTTGTACAACTCCAAGTAAGGTTACACCAGCGAATGCTGTGTTTTCGCCTTCCTTGAACAACCCCAGTTGACATGGCCCCTGAACCTGTAGGACCCCCAACCCCTTCTGGTTGGGCTACAGGGATCTTGGGCGTGTTTCGGTTGCGGGTTTAGGCTCTAGGGTCTAGGGTAGCTAGGAACCCAGTAGTACATTGTTTTTGTTATGGCCAGGTTCTTTTGCAAGCCTCATTGCAAAACCCTATACCTTGAGCACAAGAAAAAACTGCACACCCAAGCGGAAATTTTGCAGTCCTTCCTCACCTTGACTAGTGGCTTGTTCGCGCAGGTCGGGTGTAGGGTTCTTAGGTTTAGGTTTAGGGGGGGCTTAGGTTTTGAAATTGGGGAGAGTTATGCCTGCTGAGTCGGAGTTCCTTCTGGGCGCGAGGTGTCTGAGGGATCTTCAGGTTCTGCGCTCTGAGCCCTTCACACTCCAAAGCATAAACTCCCTACCCCTTCAAGCCTGAAACGCGAAAGGGCCGAGACCCGGGTCCCAAAAGTGCCCACATATCGGAGGGAAATAGACCCTTGGAGATAAACAGCTGAGCCCTTTAGCTCCTCAACCCCTGAGCCCCAAAGCTTCTACAACCCTGAAACCCCTCATATTGGAGCCCTCAAGCCCAATATCCCCGAGGCCGAAGCCTTTGCTGAGAACCCCGGGGCCCGGGACTTGTGAGGGCCTAGGGTGGTTTAGGGTTGTAGGGTTCAGGGTGGCTTGAGGGCAGAGCTCCGTGCTGGGCTTCAGCGCTGTAGGGTTTTGGGGAGTTAAAGTTTAGGGTGTCAGGTCGGCTTGTGGGCTACAGAGAAACCACGAGCTGCTCGAGAAACCGAGCGCGTCATTAGATCTTGGTATATAGGAGGGAGCAGTTTGTGAGGCAAGAGGTCGTCCTGGGGTGTCAGTCAGTGGCTTTGTCCCACTGCACGAAGCACGAGAGCTACAGGAGGTATTGACGCTTCTCTGGTCACTTGGATATCTTAAACCCAAGACCCTAAACCCTTCAAGGGTCGGAAAGCAAGAACGGCGTCGAGACAGCAGGCGATTAGGTTGCGCCTGTAGTGAAGGCTGCACTAGGCTGTGCCCCAAAACCCAGGATTTAGTATAAGGTTTTGGGCACAACCCTAAAGTTCGTGGATCCCCGGTACTCTTTCGTTTTTTGGCTAGCCTTCTAGTTTGTTCCATGGTGCTCTTTTCGGTCGGATCCTGTAGTTTTTTTCCGATTATCTGCCCATTGCTGGGGCCTCGGAGCTCAAATCCTTCTGGCGCATCCGTAGCGACACCCTAATAAGCACGAAACCTAGAACTTTAAGTCGATGAGTTGTCTGCGCCTAACCCCTGCAAACCCTCAGCCCACCACCCTAAGAATCTCGACCCTGAAGCCCTAAGCCCGGCGATGCTAGAGTTATCGTAGGAAACCGTTTAACTCCTGAAAAGTACCCTTAAGTCCCCAAAGCCTCCCCCTCCCCCTTATGAAATCCCTGCTAGAACCCTAAAATCGAAGACCCCACAACCCAAAACCCCCCATAAACACACCCTATAATAAACCCTCAAAAGGCCCCCAAAACAGACGCCTAGAGGCCGCTCCTCGCCTCCTCCTGGCCACTGCCATGGGCCTCGGCGAGAGGGGGGCCGATGAGGCAGGGGCCCGGGCTGGAGGGCTTTAGTGGGTTTTGGGGCTTTGGGCGGGTTTGGGGTTTTTTGGGGCTTTTGGGGGGTTTAGGGTGTTGGGGTAGATTTGGGTTTTATGCTTTCAGCGTCTTGAGGGATTGAAGGAAGGTTTGGGTCGAAAGGTGTGTAGGGTTCTGGGTGTAGGGAGTCGGGCGTTTCGTTGCTACAGGGGTTCATTCTGTTTGGGTTCTTGTAGTTGAATCGGTCTTAAACGATTTCAGAATTCTAGTTTCTTTGAGGTTTGCAGGGTCTAGGGATGTAGTGCTTGCGGGTAGTTATAAGTCGTGTTTTCAGAGCCCCACAACCCTCGAAAACCCCAAGCTGCTGAGCCCGAATCCAAGAAGTGAAGAACCTGCCATACCCGCCATACCCTGGGCAGGATTTCGGGTTCAGGGTTCAGGGTTTAGGGCTTAGGAACCCAAACCCCTGGCCCCAGATTTCTGAGCACCTACACACTCGGCCGCAACCCGAAACCCTGAACCCAAACCCCCAAACCCCCAAACCCTCAGCCCCCAACCTTGCCCCAAGGCCCGAGGCCGTCTTGATGGCTCATAGGTAGGGTTGTAGGCATCTCATTAGATACAGTAGCCAAACATAAGTCTGCTTAAGTTGCCTCACTCATAAGCCCCAAGCCCTGAGGCCCGGAGTGTTGGTTTCAAGCTTCCTCCCTATAAAAGGCAAGCCCTGAAGCTGAAGCCAGCCCTGATTGGGCTTCATCTTTTCGTAAGAATATTTTCAGAGGGCACTAAACCCTAAACCCAAACAAAACCCGCTTCAAGCTCTAGGGACTCTAGGGTTAGATGAAAGTTCTCTTTCTTGACATCGATGGTGTACTCCATCCGGCGGCGGAGCACGGCGACGTGTTCCTGTGCGTCCTCTGCTGCAGAGTTGGCCTTAAACCTTGAAACGCTAAACCCTGAGCCTACACCCTAAACCCCTATTCTTCGAGTCGGTGGCTTCTAGCAACGAAGGTTCAGCAGAGAGTTCCGCCCACTATCCCTGGAGTGCCCAGAGAAGCCTGCAAAGAGTCCCGCCGAGCATCCGGGAGTGCCGCAGAAAAGAACCGCCCTGGACTGCCCCCAGAGAAGTCCCCCCTTCCGAGTACCTTGGAGTACCCATCCCCCAGAAGCCCACAAGAGTCCCGGGCAGCATGCCGCAGAAGAAAGCTACAACAATTCCTAAGCCAAGAAGGATGGCTACCTCAGACAACGTATGGAAGATGGAGCGATGGGATCACTCAACGCATGATCCTCGACTCAATTCAACCCACCCGGTCGCCAGCCAGCTGCGGCAGGGTTTCCAGCACCCTGTTGCTCTCCTTCACTAGTTCGCGCGCAGGCCACTAACAGCTGGCAGTCACGAGCTGCGCCTCTTTAAGAATCTCGTGGACACCCGAGGCTACGTCCTGTTTTTCATGTTAGCCCATGCAACAACACCGACGACACCTCCAATGCTGGTTAACTGAATGTGCTGGCAGCCAATCACTTGCCGCACGGTGGGGTAACCCGCTAAGCAATGTCCTTCACAACCATTGCCAGTTATGCAGTTCGGGCAGTTCAAGATATCATCACTGTGCCAATTTGGCAGCTTTTTGCGTCAGACAGAGAGCGAGATCTCTGCAGCGTCCGAAAGAACAATAGCGCCAAGCCTTAGACCCTCCCTGAATGAAGATTGTAAGGGCGGAACACTGGAGAAGTGAAGGAACGGAGCTGGCCCGCAAACCTTAAGCCCGAGGCCTCATCTGCCAATTTCACGTGCTCTTCGAGCACAGGATCCTTCAGACTAAGTGTGGGGTTTTGGGTGCCTGTTTCCCATGTCCTAAACCCGAACCCCCAAAGCGCCAACCCAAAAATCCTTGTCCCCTGACCTTCTAATTTTTTGAATTGCAGAACCGCTTCAGCCCTAAGCCCTAAACCCTAAACCCCTTAGAACCCTAAGTGCCAAGGATAGTTTCAGGTGTGTAGCTTCTCTTGAAAGAGTGTTACAAGAGGCTTATCCATACCCTATACCGGTTTTTGAGGCTCAAAATCAGTAATAAAGCCTAAACCCCTTGAGCCTGAACCCTAAACTTATAAACCCCCTGTGCCTAAGCTCTAAACTCCAACCCCGAAGCTCAAAAACCACTTTCGGTTTGGGAGAGCTCAGGACCGAATGCACTTGCTGAAGCGGCTGCTGCGAAGCAGCGGCGCAGAGGCCGCCCATGGGTGCTAGGTTTTTTTTTGGTTTTTGGGGTTTTTGGGGTAGTTGGGGTTTTAGGGTTTAAAGAGCTTTAGTTCTTTGGATTATCGGGTTTGGGTTCCCAGGCTCCAATTATCTGCGAAATCAGTTGTTGCTCTTAACCCCAAACCCTAGTCCCCCGCTTGGAGATCTCAGAACAGTAGGAAGCCACCTTTCAAGATGCGAGCATCTTTTTGAGATTGCTGTTAGGTTTCAGGATTTCGGGGGTTTGGATCTAGGGTGTGACCTTGAGTCGAGCAGGGTGATAGAAGCACTGACCATAAGCCAGAAGTTTCAAGCTCTGAGCCCTATCGCCGCAACCCTAAACCCTAAACCCGAAATCCGAAACTCTCAACCCTACACCTGAATGCTGAAGGTGGTCTTGTCTTCATCCTGGCGATGTGATGAGGCATCTGGGGTTGAGGGTGGATACTTATAAGTAGAACTGTAAGTAGGGTTTTGAGGGTTTAGGGTTTAGGGTTTAGAGTTTAGGGTTTAGGGTTTAGGGACAGAACACGACCCTAAACCCGCAACCGGAAACCCTGCACCCTAAGCCCCTGCGACCTGAATCCTAAACCCTAACTTCTCATTGGTCTCAGACCAGAGGGCTTAGGGCTTTTGGGTGGCTGAGCGGTGGGGCTTGAGTCGGGTTTCAGGATTCTGAGATGGAGGTTGATATAGGGTTTAGGGGTTTCGGGGGTTTGGGTTGGTTTAGGGCTCTGGCGCTCTCGGGGTTTGGGCTTCCCGGGGCTCAAGGTTATGTAAGGGTTTTGGGGTTTAGGGTTTAGGGTTTAGAATTTAGGGTCTTGGGTTTAGAGTTTAGGGTGAGCCGTAAACTCTAAACCCTCACTTCCTAAGCCCTCTACCCGTGGACGTGTCCCAGGCTCTCTTTGAGTGGGCCCAGCAGGAGCTTGCTGCATTTCAGGCCTGCGCAGGGGCCCTATCTTTGAGTTTAAATAGGCTGAGAGCCGTCGCGGAGTTTCAGCTCTCAACCGTTAGCCAAAGCTTGAGGGCTTAGGGCTCCCAGCCTCTAGGAACCCTTAGACCCCAAAACGCCAATCAAATTCCTTAAGCTTCATCCCTCAATGCCGTCAACCTCCCGGCAAATCTCTTAAACCCTGAATCCTCTCTCTGTTCCAAGCCCCGAAAACTCAACTTTAAGCTAAAAAACCCAAACCCCAGGACCCAAACCCTGTTCCAGATCCGGATCTACAGTACCACAGCCTGCTCCGGATGGCCCAGCCGTGTGGATGAGATCCTCGCCAAAAGCAGGGTCTTGATCTCTTTAAGGTTCAGGTTTGGAATGTTGTTTTAGGGATTCATGCTTAAACCTGTTGAGGGTCTTCTATTCTTCTGGGGGCTTCGGGGCTTACGGTTTTAAGGGTCGAGGGTTTAAGCCGAACCCTTTGGGGTTTAAGGTCTTAAGGGTTTAAGGCTTTGAGTAGGGCTTTGAGGGTTTGTTCTAGGGTTCTTAAGAGAGGGGGGTTCAAGGGGGGGGGATGTGTAGCCTAAGGTTCCCCACTACTCCCCACGACTTCCTAAGTCTCCCTAAGCTTCCCTAACGTTCCCTAGGTACCTACTCCGCCCCATAAACCTCCGGGATGTTCCCCCTTATACTAACAGTCCTTAATCGTGATCAGAGTGCTCTTCTGTAGCAATTCCTACTAAGGAGCTGTCAGTATACGGGGCAAGATCCCAAGTTTAGGGGTCTAAGGCTTTGGCGGAGTGAGCTCAGATGCCACCTAACTCAGGAATGATATGCCTCAAGCCGCAAACAGGGAACCTGCCGTGAATCTTCCTTAAGGGGTTATGGGTGTGTGGGGGGCGGGTGAATTTGGGTTAGGGTTGGAGGTTGAGGGCAGGAAGGGAGCTCGCAACGTGTCCGTCCTAGTTGTTACTAGTTCGTTTTTAGTAGGGAGGTCGGGAATTAGGGACTCTCTATCCCCCTTGCGGGACCTCCCAAATTCCCTACCAAAAACCACTAAAGTTCGCCGAAGCCGCCACGCAACTTAGGATTTGCGCGTGGCTCAAGGAGAGGCGTCCTGTAAGTTGGGAGTTCGCTGGGTCTAGGGTGGAAATATTCAAGCAAGCCAGGAAGCTTTAAAGTGGCGATGGCGGTGCTGAGCTCGAAATTTTGAAGCTCGAGCCAAGGCTCAGGGAGTTTGAGCCTAGAATCTAGGAGTATTCAAAAGGGGTTTGGGGTACAGAGCTTGAGGGCCCCGGCCTTCTTCGACTTAATGCTAGCCCCCTGAAGCCCCAGCGGCCTAATCCTAAAACGTTTCGAAGGCGTCTAGCATGTAGGCTTCAGTGAGTAGGTTCTAAGCCGGGATGCAATCGTTGTTACGCGAACCTTCAAGCGCCCCCCCAAACGCTCGATTCGTGGGTTTTCGGCTAGCCCCGAAACACTCTAGACCCCTAACCCCTGAAGCCCTTAAAGCCTGGGCCCACACCCGAAACCCTAAACCCTAAACCCTATACCCTAAACCCCCCAAAAGCCCAAGAAGCCATGCTGCCGGAGGACCACGAGAGGCAAGTGGATGCCTTTGCCGTGCTGGACGACTCCGACTTGTCTGCTGGGGGCATCCTCCGTGGGCGCCTCCTCTGCACTCATAAACTTTTGTTCAATGTATAGTTATGTATACGTAGTATACATATTTATATTGATATTTATATTTCTGTTTATATTTATATGTATATATTTATATATGTGGTACATGTGTATATATATATATACACACATGGGGTATATGTAACATATATATATATATATGTATATATGTGGTTGTGCGCTGCGTTCTCGGCCTCCCTCCCCCCCCCCCCCCCTACGGTCTCCACTAAACCAACCCTAAACCCTAAACCTTAAGCCCCAAACCCTTAACCCTAAACCCTAAACCCTGAGCCCTAAGCCCCAAGCCCTCAGCCCTAAACCCTAAACCCTAAAACCTTAAATCCTTAAACCCTAGAATAGGCCTTTGAAGCTGAAATGGATGGAGAATACTGGTGTTTTTGTTTTCTCAATGTTATGGGATTCTCTGGGTGGGTGGGTGTTGTATCAGGGCCGGGAATATAACTTTACCAAAAAGCTGCTCGATCCGGAGCTGCTGAACCCCAAACCCTAAACCCTAAACCCTAAACCTAAACCCTCAACCCTAAACCCTAAACCCTAGACCCTAATCCCTAAACCCTAAACCCTAAACCCTAAACCCTAAACCCTAAACCCCATCTATCTATCTATCTAACTATCCATACTTTTCTAAGTTATAGCTGTTACCTCTATATAGCCATATTGCCTATTCATCTGTCGGTCTGTCTTTTTCTACATCTCTATCACCGTTACGAAGATGCTATCTTCTTGGTTTATGTTTTTTTCCTGTTTGGGTCTAGGGTGAAACCGGCTCACCGCCTGGTCGGGCTCCATCAATTGTGCCCTCATAAACCAACCCCTAGACCCGACCTAAACCCTAGACACCTAAACACCCAAAATTGGGATGTTCACCCTTACACTAGCAGTCCTTAATAGGGATTAATAGGGATTATAGTCCCCCCGATTATAGTCCTTACTAAGGACTGGTTGGTATAAAGGGGAACATCCCAAACCTAAACCCGAAACCCTAAACCCTAAACCCTAAACCCTAAACCCTAAACCCTAAACCCTAAACCCTAAACCCTAAACCCTAAACCCTAAACCCCAAACCCCAAACCCTAAACCCGAAACCCTAAACCCTGTAAACTCTGCACCCGAAGCTCCAGGCATGTAGTGTACACGGATCCTGCGGTCGGCCTCACTGCCGACAAAGTGGCGGCGGCGCTGGTGGCCCGTACTTGAAGGGAGGGTTTAGGGTTTAGGGTTTAGGGTTTAGGGTTTAGGGTTTAGGGTTTAGGGTTTCAGGGTTTCAGGGTGTTTTGGGCCGTTTAAGGTTCCGGAGGCGAGACGGTTGCCCTTTGCAAGCGCCTTGCCAACAGCACGCAAGGCGCAAATGCCCCACTACAACCCGATGCCCTCTAAGCCCTAGAGCCTCAATCTCAATGGACCCCAAGCCCTCAACCCTAAGGCCAAAGGGTTGGGGTTAACCCGAGCCCGAACCCCAACTCCTTTCCCCTCCTTTACCTCACTCCTTTCTTCAGCTTTTCCATTCTATACTGGGAGAGGGGTGGGCTGACAACAACGCCCCGCCATGACAGGGATGGAATCTAAATTCATTCTCCTGAAGGCAAGAAACAAAAAACAGAAACGAGCTTATACTTACAGTTCTGACGAGGGTTATAGTAGGGGGCACTTTGATTTCTACAGGCGCTGTTATTCTGAGGGGGAACATCCCAACTTAAACCCTCGATTCCCCAAAATCCTCAACACTAAGGCCTGAAGCCCTAACCCTAAACCCTTAACCTCAGGGGGCCTTCCACAGCGGTCGTCCTGGTGCGGCCCTGGCGCGCTGGGAGCAAAACACCGCGAGGAGGTGACTTTGCTCAGCCAAGAGTAGGGTGCAGGGTGTAGGGGTTTACATGAGGGTGTGCAGGGCTTAGGGTAGCTGTAAGTAGGGTTGCAAGCCCACAATCGTCATATCTGTCATATCTGTACCCATGTTTTGTTTGAGGTAATAAAGAGAGAAGGCCGGCGGACATGGCATGAGGGTTTCGGGCTTGAGATTTTCGGGTTCGGGGGTTGAGTCTTCTTGGGTTTGGGGATTAGGTTTCAATGTCTTGGGCTTCGGGTTTGGGGTTTTGTTTCTTGACTTGACGTCTAGGATGGTTTGCAGGAGTTTCTTTTTTTGGGATTCAGGGTTAGTAGGTTTAGTGGTTTTGGATGGTTTTGGGGTCTTGAATTCGCGACTTTGAAGGTTTCGGGGTTTGGAGGCCTTGGGCTACAGGGAGTTTCAAGAAAATGTACCCTTTGACCCCCTTGTATGCTTCGGTCACCTCGTTCAAGAATAGGCTTTAGTGTTGTTTTTTTTTGGGTTTTGGGGTTTATCGTTTGGGGCTCCCCTTCAACATCTCATCTCACCTACTCGGAGGTTTCATGGGTGCAGCTGGAGTCGTTCAAGGGCAGCGGGAGTTGTCAGGGTTTTTTTGAGGCTTATTCGTGGCATTACCTGCACCCCTTGATGGCAACCTTGTCCTTCGTTGGGGTTTCAGGGTTGAGCATAACCCTAAACCCTAAACCCTAAACCCTAAACCCTAAACCCTAAACCCTAAACCCTAAACCCTAAACCCTAAACCTCAAACCCTAAACCCTAAACCCTAATCGTTTTTAGGGTTTTATGGTTTCGGGTTTCAGGGTTTCGGGGGCTCTCGCGCGGGAGGTCGCAGGACGAGTGCTTCGGCGGCTGTTGGACTTGGCTTGCGGCCGCGGGAAATGGGAGCGAAACCCTGAAGCCCAAGGCTTCAGGTGTTTAGGGTTTAGGGTTTAGGGTTTAGGGTTTTAGGGTTAGGGTTTAGGGTTTAGTCTGTCTCCTACAAAACCCTAGACCCCCAAATCCGAAAGCACGTTTGTGTAGGGTGTTCGATTTTTCCATCCTCCGTCGACTCTTAACCCAAAGCCCTCAACCCGGGGACAACCAGCAGAGAGCCGTTTGCATCTGGCTGGTGAGGAGTGTTAGGGTTTAGGGTTTAGGGTTTATGGTTTAGGGTTTAGGGGCATTCGGGTCCCTCGAGGGCCTTACGCCCGAAGCCCTTGCTAACCCTAAATTTCGTCAACATTTGCCATGAGCAAAGAGACCCTGCTGGCAGGGGCTCCCGTACGAGGCAAGGGCGGAGATTCGTCCAAGTCGGGTTTCGTGTTCTCTTGGATCAGGTTTAGGGGAAGTTTAGGGTTTCAGTTTTGAGGTTTAGCTGTTCAGCATTCGGTTCAGGTGGTTAAGGTCTTTTTGGATTCCGAGTTTTCAGGGCCTTGGGGCTTCTCTGAGGTGGAGCGTGGGTTTAATTGTGTCATGAGTTTAGGGTTTGGTTTTTTGGGGCCTAGTTCAAGCTTCAAAAGCTCCAAACCCTAAACCCTAAACCCTGAACCCTAAACTCTAAAACCCTAAAGCCCTAAACCCTAAAAAACCCAAGTTGGCTGTTGCTTTCCCACTCAACCCCCAAACGCGATCCCTGATCCCCTGAGCCAAAGCCTCAAAGCCCTCGAGCCTGGTCCCTTTACAAATGTACTAGCAGAATCCCCAGAACCCTATTGTGATTACTAGAAGTTATGGCCCCTTTATAAATATACTATCTCATCGTCCCCAAGACCCTACTCTAATAAGGCCCCTATGTTCGTGAGGCCACGGTTTTGCTGGAACAACCCAGCGGTTTTAGGATTCAGGCTTTTCGGGTTTGCAACATCCAGACCTCGAAGGTTCGATGTATGGTTCGACCGTGCACCCCTAGCCCAAAATGTTGCAAGCCCCTGTGCTGCGCTCGCCGCCGCTGTTTCTTGAAAGCCCAGTTCTGATCCCAGTGTGGCCAGTGGTGGTCTAGACGTCTAAACGACGTGCCTTGGCCATCGTTGGAAAGTCGTTGTGGCCCTGGCGGTCGAGGTTCAGGGACTCAGGGGTTCAGTGGCTGAGGGCTTTAGGGTTTAGGGTTTAGGGTTTAGGGTTTAGGGTTTAGGGTTTAGGGTTTAGGGCTGAAAGTTTGGGGTGTTGAGCCGTCCAAGCCCTACAGCCCTGAGCCCCGACCTCCAAGTCCTACATCCCCAATTCCCCCAGGAGCGTCAGCGCAACCCCATATAAAACCTAAGCCATTCACAGCTGCCTCCAAAGTAGCCGTAAGGTCCCTGAACCCTGAACCCTAAACCCTGAACCCTAAACCCTAAACTCTAAACCCTCAACCCTAAACCCTAAACCCTAAACCCTAAACCCTAAACCCCAAAAACGTCCACGGCCAGGTCCCCTGGGTTCGTCAAATGAACGGAGCAGCCCCGATGGCCGGAGCCTGCAGTCCCGGAAGCCTCGGACAGTTGGTTTAGGGTTTAGGGTTTGGGGTTTAGGGTTTAGGGTTTAGGGTTTAGGGTTTAGGGTTTAGGGGTTAGGGTTTAGGGTTGGAGTTGCCATTTTGGGGGGTTCCTAAAATGTGCATTATATGGTTTTGGGGTATATTGAGGGCACCCGTATTGGGTGAAATACCCTATATTCCCCTAAGAACAGTAGTTGTAGCAATCGCCATAAGAGCATCAAGATAATGTGTAATACCCCCCCTATGCCGCTCCTTCGCTCAGCTGGTTTTAAATTTCAAGATCCTGAACACGCAGCATGCCTGAGTTTCAAAACTTGTGTTGACCCCTTCTTCAGGTTTAGGGTTTAGGGTTTAAGGTTTAGGGTTTAGGGTTTAAGGTTTAGGTTTTACGGGGCTCGGTTAAGGTACATCTATGTCCCACCACTTATAGTCTTTGGCCTTTCAAGTGGACTTCGCGGGCCTGATGCGATGGACCCTGAGCTACCCCTTAACTGCCTTCCTTTCCCCGCACGACCACCCAGAAGAATTGTGGGTAGCCCTAAAACCTCAACCCTAAACCCTAAACCCTAAACCCTAAACCCTAAACCCTAAATCCTAAACCCTAAACCCTCAACCCTAAACCCAAGTCCCAAGTCCTCTCAGCCCGAAAGGACATCCGGAGCTGTGTGGCCGGCCTTGCGTCTATGTGGTCAAAGCTGGCAAATGCCACCGGGCACAAGACCATCGAAGCAATTGGGTTTAGGGTTTAGGGTTTAGGGTTTAGGGTTTAGGGTTTAGGGTGTGGGGTTTAAAGTTTGGGCTTGAGGGTCTAGGGTATACTCCTTCTATAGCCTCCATACGCTTCTAGAAGCCCTTCTATGTGCCTATCTGGAAACTCCCCGCCTGGAACCGTGGCTGTAAACTTTGGGATTGTGTTCCACCTCAAGCCCTGCACACTAAGCCCTAACCCCCAAACCCACGGCCCTAAACCCGCAAAAGCCTTCAACCCAGCGGCAGATATCAGGTTCTTCCGACTTATATTCGTGACCCCCCTAAACCCTAAACCCTAAACCCTAAGCCCTAAACCCTAAGCCCTAAACCCTAAGCCCTAAACCCTAAACCCTAAACCCGAACCCCCCCCATGTGAGGTTCTTCCGACGCATGCCCGTTTTGCCACTTCCACCATGAGCAGCCGCTGATGAAGCTCGACCTGCGCCGGCGCCTCTTGCTTCCCACGCTGGATGCTGGCGGCAGGCCCCTTGGGTTCTGGTTTGGGGTTTAGGGTTTAGGGTTTAGGGTTTAGGGTTTAGGGTTTGGGGTTTAGGGTGTAGGGGTTGGGGGGAAGGTCAGGGCTCAGGAAATTGTACCAGCTAGCTACCAACCCTTGCTACTCAGTGCGGTGCCCTTCTGAACCCCCACTTACCTCCTGGCTCCAGAAATAACGGGTTTAGGGTTTAGGGTTTAGGGTTTAGCGTGTAGGGCTTAGGGCCGAGATCATGCCTTACACGCCCAGCCCTTGCCCGCAACCTCGAGCTCCATACCTGCAACCCAAAACCGTACCTCAAGGCCCAGATTTGTTATCAACTATATACCCTAAACCCTAAACCCTAAACCCTAAACCCTAAACCCTAAACCTTAAACCCTAAACCCTAAACCCATCTTATTCCTACACGACTTGGTATTATTATTGTGCTCAGAGATATTACTGTTGTTATCATTGTTATTGTTCTTGTTGTTATTCTGATTGTTATGTTACCGTTACGGGCAACTAGGATCCCCAAACAAACCCGACACGGGCTTTAGCGCAGAGATAGGAGGAGTGGCAGTTGATTGGTATCGGACCCCGAAGGAAGGGATTCGGGTTTAGGGTTTAGGGTTTCGGATTTCGCCCCTCAAAGCCCTCCCCAATCCCTCGAAAGCCCGAACCCCGAAACCTCTAACGCCCTATAATGATAGCCGTAAGCATATCCATAATGATACCCAGAATAGTAACCTAGGCAGAGTTTAAGACCCTAAACCCTGAACCCTGAGCCCTGAGCCCTGAACCCTAAACCCTAAACCCTAAACCCTAAACCCTAAACCCTAAACCCTAAACCCTAAACCCTAGACCCCTAGGAAGATTCAGAGGGCTTTAAGGGCCATCCTTGTAACTAAAATGACAGCCACAACTCTTTGCAGGGCTTGAAACCGAGGCTGCAGTTGATCATCGATGCTTTTAGCCTTCGAGCCGCGCGACAAGGCCATGGAATGGGTCTCAGGGGTTCAGGGTTCAGGGTTCAGGGTTTAGGGTTTCGGAGTTCAGGGTTCAGGGTTTCCGGGTTTCGTAGTTCAGGGGGTTAGGGTTTCCGGGGCAGCAGAGTTCAAATAGAGGTTCAGGGCTCTAAACCCTCTAAACCGCCAAATTTCTTGAGAGCGCGGTTCTTTCAACCCTAAACCCTAAACCCTAAACCCTAAACCCTAAACCCTAAACCCTAAACCCTAAACCCCAAACCCCAAACCCCAAACCCTAAACCCTAAACCGGAGCTTCAGAAACCCCCCCGAACCGGCAGGGCTCCTGGACGATTCCCACGAGATCCTCCAAGCGTTGGAAGAGGAGGCCGATCGAGGGTTTGGCGGCAGGCTTTAGGGTTTGGGGTTTCGGGTTTAGGGTTTAGGGTTTAGGCTTTGGGGTTTCGGGTTTAGGGTTTAGGGTTTCGGGTTTAGGGTTTAGGCTTTGGGGTTTCGGGTTTAAGGTTTGGGGTGTCGGGTTTGGGGGCTAGGTCTGGGACATGGCTAGCACCTAACCTTGGGTCTTGGAACTCAAGAGCTTGAGGGCTTACTTTGCTCAGGTTTTGGTGTGTAGGCTCTATAGGTTCTATCTGTAACTATATAGGGGTTTAGGGTTTAGGGTTTAGGGTTTTAGGGTTTAGGGTTTAGGGTTTCGGGTAGGGCTTGATAGGCTTAGGGACGGGCTTAGCGCTTCTAGGGATGAGGGCTCAGGGCCAATTCGGGACCTTAAGCCCCCAGGTGCTGTCGCCCCTTGAAGCCTTAAAATCCCTACTGGCCCTAAACCCTAAACCCTAAACCCTAAACCCTAAAACCTAAACCCTAAACCCTAAGGTCTTGAAGGTTTGGGTTTCGGGTTTAGGGTTAAAGGGTTTAGTGTTTAGGTTTTTAGGGTTTAGGGTTTAGGGGGCTCAGGCCTCGAGCCCATGCTTTCCCTACCCTCCAAGGTTTTAGGTTTGTTTAGGGTTTAGGGTTTAGGGTTTCGGGTTTAGGGTTTCGGGTCTAGGGCTTTTGGGGCCGGAAGCCTCTGCTATGGGACATCCACAAAGCCCCAAGCCCCGAAGCCCTAAAGAGTTTGCCACATGCTTTGAATGACCTCGAGAGTACATGGAAGCTCTAACATTCAGACCCCAAACCCTCAAGCCCAAACGCTGAAGGCCAATTAGGGCTTAGGGCTTCGGGTTTACTTATTCGGCACCTTGCAAGGGACCTTAGGGGGAACAAGATCAAGGGCCTTCCAGATGTTCCTCCTTATACCCTTAATCAACCTTTTCCAGCCCCAAGCTGCTCAAGCTCGGCTGTAAGAAGAAGAAAGGGCTGTTGCGCAAACCCTAAACCCTACACCCTAGACCCGGCTATACCCTAAGCCCTAAACCCTAAACCCTACACCCTAAACCCTAAACCCTAAACCCCAAACCCTACTCCCTGAACTCCCTCAGCCCTGAAGGCCCCAAACCTCAAACTTGGGATGTTCCCCCTTATATAAACAGTCCCGAATCGGGATTATAGTACCTCTTATTAGAATCCCAATGAAGGACTGTAAGTAAAAGGGGAAATTCCAACAAAT